TACTGTAATCAGCACCAATCCCGCTGGCGTGGGTCATACAATTGTACTGTAATCAGCACCAATCCCGCTGGCGTGGGTCATACAATTGTACTGTAATCATGATCAGCACCAATCCCGTTCTACGGTTTCATACGAGTGCAGATAGTCCGCCGTCTCCCCCAGTTTGAACCTCACAAAACACAAAAAATAAAATAGCTTCCACACTCCTTCAATGCACCCACAAGTTATCAAGCTTATGGGTACCTAGGAGAGGCCAAAATGGCAAAGATTGTTTTGCCTTAAATTGTACGAAAACCTAATCTCAAGGGGGTTCCAGTAGGTGATATACATCTGTGGAAAAAACTACCCATGGCTTACTGCATGGCGCTACTATCGGTCCATTTCCTGCGTATTCATTGTTATGGGCCTGGTGGTCTCGCCAAATGATGTGTTGTGTAGAATCAGCCTTGCGGGATATACGTAATCGGGGAAAATTACCATTTGCTTAGACTGGAACAGTCTGGGCGATTTATTTCTTTTTAAATTTAAAATTAAATAATAAAAAAAGCGTAATGGAGGTGTTTACGCGAAATCCCCTGTAACCGCGAAATCACCCAAATCATGTGGTGGTTTCGCGTTCACCCCCTACCTTTCTCAAAACTATTTTTTTTCATACATATTTTTTTTAAATCACCACTGCTTGATTATTCTTACATTTGTTGTAAGTTCATCAGGAGAGCAGTATTTTTTAAATGACTGATTTAATGAAATGAAGATTTTCATGTATGGCTCTGCTATGCATATTTGTGTTGCGTAGCGTTTTACAAGTCGTGCATGTCCAACGTTTTCGATATTTCTTAAAAAAAAAATATAACTATGTGCACATTCTCTACTTACGTTTGTAGAACTACTTTTAATTTCTAATAATACAGGCGGGACATGTTCACAGCCATTCTTTAACCTGAACAGTGGCGATACATTTGGGGACATTAATAACTTGCCCGAGGGTGTTTATGTGCTGGCGCGGCTGTATACGTCTGTACAGTGTGATGAAATGTGGCACCGCTAACAATTAAAATGGAGTTTGAATATATTCTTTTTATTTTATTTAACTGTTTTTTTTTTATTTTCTCAGTCAACATTGCCGTCGATCCCGGTATATGTTACCTCACATGTTCTAAAAATAGGAAACTACATGATAAAATCTAATGACCCCCACCCAACATGTCCCGTGGTTCGTCCCTTGACCAATTTGTTATTGCCCTAACTGGCGTTGCCTTGACAATTACGCGTATATGTATATATACGAACCTGGTTGCCTTGGGTCACTACTCGCCGTTTGTCGATTGATCTGATATGAGTGAAGCATACGTTCTTAAAAACACGAGGTTACTCAGAGGAACGTTTATATTCTGCGCATTATCATTAAACTAGTATGGGGTGTAAGTCATCGAAGGTATCGCCGTCTGTACGCGGAAACTCTGGCAGTGGCTCCACAGGGAAAGGTGAGGCATCTTATTACTTACACTAATAAACCCCTCAACATTTTACACCAGTTTAGCATTACATTCAGTGTACTCTTTGGTCTCAGATTTTCAAATCTATGAATTTCAAAGTCAACTAATAATAATCACTCAAAATTATATTTGTGCTATTTTAGATATCCGTTAGGGTTGCAGTTGCAATAACCATTGTATGTTGATTCATATTATTATTTACAAGAGATTTAACTTATGTAAACCCAAGCTACATAAATACGCTTATATTCTTTATCCCTAGGTTTGAGTGCAAGGCGAGAAGCATGGGGCGGAGAGCTTACGCAAGTACAGTCGACAGGTATTTATAAGAGAATACATATGTGTCTGTACTTGTCCTCAACAACCACAGTATGCGATTCACGCTCCTCGTATTGATTTGCTATAAGGAATCGCCATTTATTGATTGAGTCGGCTACACCTGTTACAATCACGTGCATATTTAGACAATGTCATTTTCACCCATGACAACAATCTCTGGCAACGGCATTACAATACTATCGCACTATGTTTACAACTATGTCACCATGGTGTTCAAATAATATAAGATTAAAAGTCCTAAATCATACTGTTTACCAGTCTGCAATATCGTAACGATTTTTCATTGTCATGGTGTTTAATTATTTGAACAAGGTTTCGCAGATTGCCTGTCATGCGATACGTATCACGACTAGAACAGGATATGTCCTTTACACATCCTGAACAGTACGTGAATGCATCATGACGTCACTGGTAACAATGAATTATGGGTTTAAAAGTATTATAAAAGTCTGGCGTCGTGCCAAGACTACATGTCTACTTGTTCGTTGTACCCGTGTTACCTTGGCTGCCGTGAATGCCTTCCAAACTATT